GAACAGGGTTTTTCGCACAGAAGTCAATTTAATTGATTATTTAGTGGATGTTTGTTGAAGAATAAGCCTTCTGTCTTCAAAGAATCTATCAAGTATAATTTTATACGGCAACAGTCAGACACAGTTATTTTCAATAAAATGTTAAATAATGTAAAATAATAATGGCGACTTGTCAATCTATTGTATCAGGCTTGATCGATGATTCGAATTGGTCACAAATCCTTTTTTTTGATTGGTGGAATTGTGCTCTTCTTTTGTTTCCGGACGCAACAGTTTTTTGCAAATGTATCATGTGATATATTAAGTACTTTTTTCTTTCAAACCGTATAGTTTTTGTACAGTTTGAGAGACACTTTACAACGAATCCACCAAATTCACTAGATTCCTTACTTCAAAGACTCCTTCAATAGTGAAAACGGGCCTAAACGCCAATGTCTTCTAACAACATATTTGACTAATTTTTCTTGAGGTTGAGCTGGAGTCAAGTGGTTTATGATATTTATCTGTTCGGTTCATTCCTAGAATTATTGTATTGAAACCTCATATTCTACTTCTCCTTGACAATACACTTATTTTTGAATTTACAAAATCAAGTGTATATAGAGAGAGTGTATACATTGAACAGACAGTTGTTCCACGCTGAAATTTAGCTATGAGTGACACCCAGGTGCCAGCTGTCAAAAATGTCGTTTGTATAATTTGGATTTTACACAAGGCAACTATCATGGTGAACTTAAAATTAGCTGAGAGTAGTGAAATGTCGTATCCACCTATGGTAATTATAATTGGACACCAAATTTTGTAAACCTTTTCTGCAACCCATGAGATGTCATAAGACATTTCTTCAAATCATAAGGTAAGAAAATATTTGTATATCGCCGGACATCTGACAATACCTGCTATCTGACATTTTACCTACAGCACACATTGTGATAGAGTCCGCTAACTGCAGAAAAATTTAGTTTTTGAATTATTCAGCCAAAACAATATCTACCGCTGGCAACACGTCTGTCAATGAGCGGCAATTCCAGCTAACTGATAATTACGCGTGCTATTTTTCTTAACTTGCAATGAAACACGACGTTGTGATTTCTCAGAAATATCTCACCGAAGGACACACCCAAATGGAATGTGACTCTATACACAGTTGCATTTAAAGAAAACTGAGAAATAGAGTTATTGAATTACCAAAAAATGTTAAGGCATCAAAAGGACTAGGACAAAACCAGAGCCATATGAGGTGATCCAACTTACGACTTCTTCAAGGACTAGTCTCGAACAGAGGTGCAGCGATACTCAACAATTAGACCAGGCAAGAACAAGGGGGTCGCGGACATCAAAGTACTATGTTATAATCCCGATGGAAAAATTGAAGTTAAACTAGACTTCAGTGTAGAGCCTCAGGAGTTGTCTATGAGACCAAAACAGCTACCCGACATTTCAGATTATACTCGTATCTAAAGACTGTCACATGTTTTACGACAATTTGCCATATGTCAAGGAATTACGCTGAACGGTCATTTATGGGGTAACTGAGAATACATGCTTTTTATTATCTTTTTCATTTGTAAAAGCATTAAACTTTTAATAACAGTTTTTCTAACACGAATCTCACTAAATCCATCTATGCATCATAGTACAATATCTGCTAACTGCAAAGAAAGTTAGCAGAAATATCAGCTATCTGCACTAATTTTGTCAATTAGAGCTGCATTTAGATAAAATCGCATTAAATATGTGTTAAACGTCATTTATTTTTTGTGACCGAAGTTGTAGAGTCTTAAGGCAGGTAGTATAGAATTGATGAGGTTTCTTTCGTCCCCTGTAAAATTGCGGTTCCTGCATATAGCAGGTATTGTCAGATGTCCGACGATATGGCTTTTGTAGTTTGGGTTTTTGGAAACAACTTAGTTGCCTAATGTGAATCATGCTCATTGTTACACAATTTTTAGTGTACTCAACAACTCAAGAAATATCGACAGCGCCGAACACTTGAGTGGCGTGGTGACAAGGAATCCTTAACAATAAAATATTTACAAACATCATTTTAAGTTTGCTTCCACACTATTGTATGTTTCGTCGGGAAGGACGTGCACTCTAACTGCTTGTTAAACTTTTTTTTGTTAATTCAGCAAGGAGTGAGTCAAATTACCTCGATGCAAGACAATTTTATACATACAGCTCGTCAAGTGTAGGAAGAGATGCGAATTTTTGAAGAATGTCACGCCTTCTCGGTGCGCAGTCGTGTTTAGACTAGTTAGCGTACAGTCAGGTGAAATATTATCTGGCAGTGAAACAACTTTATTACTCATTATCTGTGAATTGTATGTAATGTTACGGATTCGTGGGTTAAATACACAAAATTTTACGCTATCAGTTGTCGCCAATTATTCCTTGGTGATATTTACTCGTTTATAATGGATTTTAAATCCAAATTACAACGTAAAGTTTAATCAGGACAAACTAGGGAGGTTCTAGCAAATGTTATATTATTTATGCAACGAGAAGCAGAAGGAAATAAACCTCTTAAAGATTTGAAGACAGTTCAGGAGCAGCTATGTCTACGGGAGTTAGTCTATCGACTATTAAGAGGATTTCTCGCGAAATTAAATCTGTTGAAGAAGTTGCTTCGACATCTTTTTCGACACCACATCATAAAAAGACGAAGAGCCATTCCGAAATCTGATTTCGACGCCTTTGATAGAGGATTGCTTCGTCGATCTATAATGAACCTTTATATAACTGAAAAGAAGGTTCCAACTTCTTCCTACTTTATTAATAGGCTCATGCCTGTTTTACTTCGGTTTTTAGCCTCAATTAATGTTGTCTGACCATCTTTTCCTCGGTCGTCCCATTGATATTCTTCCATTTGGCGAGTTGTCTCTTGATATTCGTACTGTTCTATTTTCTGTCATTCTTTCTATGTGTTGATTCCATTATATTTTTCTTCTTTTGGTCCACTGGTTTATTTCCTCTATACCACATTTTGCTCGTATTTCCTCACTTCTTACTCTGTCTCTTAGAGTTTGGTTTGTTATTTAATGACTTTCATTTCTGCTGTTTCCAATAATCTTTGTGTTTTCGCCGTATCTGCTCTTGTCTCCGCTGTGTACATCATTATCGGTCTTATTGTTGATTTATATATCCTAGTTTTCGTTTCCGTTGTGAGGTATTTGTTTCTCCAGATTGTATTGTTGAGACATCCTGCTGCCCTGTTCGCCATGTTCACTTGTTTTTGTACTTCTTCCACTTTTCCATAGCTTGACAGTTTGATTCCCAAGTATTCCGTTTCCATCACCTGTTCTATTATTTTGTTATTTACGACCAGTTTACATCGTCTCGGTTCCGCTGATATCACTATCGATTTAGTTTTCTCTGTTGAAATCACCATGTTGTATATGAGCGCCGTATCTTCGAATCTTTAATTAATCTTCATCTTCATTTTCGGCTATTATTATGGCGTTGTCGGCATAGCATATCATCTGGATTTCCTTTTCTCCCATTCTATATTCTCTTCTTTTTTAACTTTCTTTATGATGTCATCTATTATCAGATCAAATGTTAGTGGGCTCAGCGAATCTCCTTGTCTAATGCTAGTTTCATACTTGATAGGTTGCGAGAGTTTTCCTTTACATCTTAGCATAGCTATTTTATCTTTATATATATTCTCAATAGTTTTTACAAAATCCAGTGGTAATCCCCTGTCATATAATAAATGTATCGCGTCCCGAATTCTCACTCTATCAAACGCTTTCTTCAAATCTATCAGGCACATATATGCTGATTTGTTGTATTCCATCGACTTTTCTTTTATTTGTCTCATTACAAAAACTGCATCCGTGCATGATCTTATTGTCCGAAATCCTTGCTGTTCCTGTTGCAGAGTTACTCGTTCGTTTATTTTTGTCGCTATTTTTCTTGTTGTCAATTTGAGTGATGTATTTAACAGATTTATTGCTCGATAATTATTGGGGTCTTTCTTATCTCCTTTCTTGAAGAACATCAGCATGATCGCTCTCCTCCATTCATCTGGTATTCTGTTTGTGGTCATTATTTTTTGAATAAGTAGTTGCAGTTGTGCAAGGTAATCACTATTTTTTGAATAAGTAGTTGCAGTTGTGCAAGGTAATCACCTCCATATTTTAAGACTTTATTTGGTATTTGATCTTCTCCTGATGACTTTCTATTTTTTAATTTATTTATTCCTTGTTTCACATCTTCTTGGGAGATTTCGGTCTTTTCATCAGTTATTATATTTGGCGTTTCTGGTAAAGATTCTTCGTTTTCGTTTTTAAACATTTCTGTCAAGGAGGCCACCCATGTATCCTCTTTTATGCGTTCTATTTCAACTAGTTCTTTCATTTGGCTTCTTTGTTGTCTTATGAAGCGCCATACTTGTTTCTGTTGTTCGTAGAATTACATCTCTAGTCCTTTTGTGAATCTTTCCCAGTAATCTGTTTTTGGTTTCCTTACCAGTTGACGAGTTTCAGTTCTTATTCTTTTATATTCTTCATATGATTCATTGGTTTTATCTGACTTATATTTTAGGAAAGGTTTCCTTTTTTAGTGACATTTTTGTTTAACCTCTAGTGTAAACCATGGTGTTTTCATTGACCACTCTTTGTTTTTGTTTATTATTTTCGTTCCAAGGGCTTCTCGGAAATTTGTTCAAGATCACAATTACACTGGATCACATGAAACTTTGAGGAAAATGATGAGGACAATTGGATGTCGTTGGAGCAAGGCAAGAGCTAATAGAAGACCTCTTATAGAGAAACCAGAGATTCAGCATCTCAGGAGAAATTTCCTGAGAAGGATGAAGAAATAAAAAAAATCGTCCTATAATTTATATGGACGAAACATACATCCATACATCACATACGCCAATTTCAAAAGGACAAAGATTCATTGTTGTGCATGCCGGTAGTGATAATGGTTTCGTGGAAAATGCATATCTGAAATTTAAATCCAATAGTAAGTCGGGTGTTTATCACAGTGAGATGAACTATAGTAACTATAAAAAATGGCTTCAGGATAAACTGATTCCCAACCTACCACCAAATAGTGTTTTGGTTATAGACAATGCTCCATACCATAATGTTCAGATAGACAAAGCGTCGCTGGAAAGACAAAGAGGCGTAGCTCCAATTCAGATGTTTTACAGAAGATGCGATATACAATCGTTTGTCCTTTTAGCACTAGTAAGAATAGGAGATCCGTCCACATGCTGATTTACCCTATTACGTTAGCCATAAGGAGCAATACGCCACTTCATCATATAGATATCCACTCTTAGAGATTTCTGGTGGTGCTAACTGCAAATGGGCATTTTCCAACTTACGCCCCTTTGTTTTTCCACCGACGAAATGTCCTACTATGTACTCTAAGAAGGATCATATGAAAGAATGGCTAAGGCAAAAAACATACATTTCACTGACGTGTTGAAAATTGATTTGAATAGCTTTATCAAAATGCATAAGACGGCATGAAATAGACAGAATAATGGCTGAAAGAGGCCATTCTGTTTTGAGATTGCCTACATATCACCCCGACTTGAACCTAATTGAGTTGGTATGGGCATCTTTGAAACAATATGTGGCTGAGAGAAATCTTTAATCTCAAGACTTTCGACAAACTTTGCGACGACTTTTTCTCGTCTTATCCCACGGAAGGGTGGAAAAAACGATGTGAGCATGCCAAAGGTTTTGGGAAGCAGTATATGGAAATGGAACCAGCACTCGACCTAGTTGTGGACCTAGACGAAGATAGCGATAGCGAAACCGAAGACTTAAGTTTCAGTAGTAGCTCAGATTCCGTTTCCGAATTTTCAGGATTTGATCCTCTGTGAAACTTCATAAACCTTTAAAATATTGCCAACTGTATCTACTACGATGTTAGTTTTCTGACCTTATTTTCCATTTGGTTTTTTATTAATTGAAATTATTGAAAATAGAACGAGTACCAATCAATTTCAGTCTTATAGCTACATAGCGTGCAATACTTATTTTGTGGAATAAATTGTTTTGGTTTCTTTTTGACACATGCCAACAATTTCAATTGAAAAGCAGGCTTCACATAATGCGTATTCCATTATTCAAATTATTCGATTAATTTAGGATGCAGACTGTACCACTCTTTTGCTCCGAATGCGTTCTCCCTTTCTCGTGTGCGCAATCCCAGTAAATCCTCATGTCTCTTCCTACACTTGACGAGCTGTACGTCGTGTGTGAAAGCAAACCATTGTAGCTAAAAACTCTCCCTTAACAATATTTTCAGTGACGACAGTTTGACCAAACTGTAACGCAAATGATCTGAGATGGCTGTCTTCCGGTTTCATATCTGTTATAGCTGCAGCATGAAGCTTTTCAAGATTTCACTGAAAATACACTCACGGGATTGTGGTAGCGCTATTTTACAAATATATTACACATACCGTGCTAATTCTGTCTAAATAGCCTTGCTATTTTGTTTATCACATATCAAATAAGTGACAGACGGTCTCATCACCTTTTTTTCAGTGTCAAAGTCACCAAAATCCACTTTGACAAATATCTCTCGAAATGCTATTCTTTTTTCATTCAAATTGGTCACTATAATGTCAAAACGTATAAGCCCATAAAAATATTTTGAAAGCCCTGATAATACAGAGCGTTCAAAAAATAGACGAAGATATTTTAGACGGTGATTCCTCGTCAAAAAATATAAAAAGTTTCTATAAGCATGGAAATGCAGATATTTCAAGATACAGGGTGATAAATTTAAAAAAATCCTTTTTTATTAATATCTTAAAAAGTATTTACTTGATTCCAGTGGCGTCCCGGGAGGCACCTTAGCGAATATTATTGACAAAAAAGTACGCCACCGCCTTTTTTGTAACTTTGATATTCGGTGTTTAATTAAGTATCTAAAAGTACAACATTTTTGTCTCTTTTATTTTTTTTGTATCTCATTTCGTTTTCGGAGAAAACATAAAAACCGTTTTATTGTCACTGAACAAAATTTATTTGTGTATTAATTTTTGCTAAAAAAATCACAAATGCCTTGGAAAACAAAAAATCATTTCTGCATGGAGATTTGACATTTGTGCGTCAGTTCAAACGTCAACAGGATCGACTAAATATTTTTTAACATATTATTTAACTGTTTTTTAACTTACCACCTTGTATCTTTAAAACTCTGCGTTTCCGGACCCATGTTTATAATAGGAACTTTTCTTTATATTTTTGAACAAAGAATCGTCCTATAAAATATCTCCGGTATTTTTTGGAACACCCTGTATTGCGACTGGGAAGGTCCGCTCAAACATCAACAACATTGAAAAACAAATTAATTTTTTTGAAGATTTGACGTCTTCAAAAAATTGTTTCCACTAAAATTTTTGGTTATATATCTACCACTAACGCATGGATTTTCAAAAATATAGCAGCATGACCATATCACACTATACGAGTATATCTTTTTTTGAATCAGTTCATTGGCTGCTGGGATTATGCGATGACATACACACAGGTAGGCTGACGAAAATGAATATCATGCTTTTTGTCATGCAGAATGAAATTTGACCAACCTAAATGATAAATAGGTACTAATAATTTTATAATTGCAAGAAACGTTGTTTTGAGATAGTTGTTCAGATGATTGCAGTGGAGCCTATGATTTTTAACTACCTTAAAATTACCAAATATGTTAAATATCAGAGTGGAAGAAGCGTGAAATTTATTTGGTTACACATCGCTGTATGGGGATACCACATCATTTTTTTCAATATTGAGTAAACTAGGATTGACTGATCTTGGCTTCTTCCACCTTAGTTAGTGTATGTACAGTATGTTTAACAGATTACATACGGAATAAGAATACCTATTGTATAAAATAATACATGTTCAACCTAAATCATAGCATGAACATGTGCTATGCGCCAAACCAAAACTAGCCATGTCTCTATTTTGGATACTATCAAAATGTTTGAAAAACTCCCATTTTTGCAAAGATAATTATGACTTTGGATTCTGAGAATCCAAGCTAACGAAGCGCTAGATATCTCGATGTTAATTATCAACTACATTGTAAAACAATACCCGGAGTTGTGTTTTTTTGTCATCCCCAGTACTCATTACATTATCTACAGGGTGTCCCAACAGAATTTCAACATTTATAAGTGATTTATCATTTCTCCTTCCTTCTAATTAATTCCTTTCTTCAATTCAATTCAAAAGTTCAGTTACGAAACAAAACTATATTTCAGATCTCATTTATCCTGATTTTATTAAGTAGTTTTATTGATTTAGCAGATTACGCAAGAGATAATTTTTCTCTCATGGTATAAGAACTTTCCAAATGCTTGTTTTTGGTTCAGATTTTAAAACTGAATCCTGTATTTCATTTTGTAACAATTACGACCGGATTCTAAAAATACGCAGCAACCTCATTTTTAATGATGCAATACCACGAAATGGTATTTTATGAAGTTTACCCTATTCAGGAACCGCACAAAAATACACATTTTATACATTCATTTTTTTCTGCATCTATAAAGTGCTTACTACGAAATTAGTCAGTTTAAGTGACGTGGTATTGCAGTATCACCGAGGATTTGAAGTTTTATGATATCAATCCATATCACGTTATGTAGATCATTAAAATCGGAAACGGGAACTGTTTACCTATGCAACGTTCATAAAAACCGAAGGAATGCGTGGCTGATGATATGAAATAAATGACTGATAATTTCAAGGCCGATCTGTTTTTTAATAACTATAGCTTTATATTATTGTATAATTTTTGAAATCAGGATTAAAAGCTTGTTTCACCAATTCTAAATTCCAGTATGGCGTTCATAAAAAAAAAGTAGTGTTGACGATGGATGACAAGAAACAAAACGTTATATTGAATTTTTAATTATATCGTCTTGTAGAGAAGAATATTAGTGTGTTTTGGAATCTGATCGAAAAATTAAAGATGACTTTAGGGGTGAATTTGTTTCCATGTATGTCCGGGAATATTCTAATTTTCTAAATTTTCCAAGTGCCATTTCTTTAATTTTCACAACTTTGCCTCTGCCTAACCGACGTTGTATTTCTTATCCTTTTCGAGATCGAGTTGGATCTGAAGCACCAGGTATATTCAATATGGAGGATTTCAATTTATTTTTATAATAGAATTTACGCTATGAGTTGCTGTTGGTATAAAATTATAGAGCTCGATATCTAGTTATATAAGATCGTTGCCCCTCAGACTTCAACATGAAATGGGAGACAAACATGCTATCTGCTTGTCAGGTCATGTATCGATATGGTATACCGGCAAATGTTTATATTTATCAAGGTAGATGCAGGTTGCAACTACTGTATGTTCAAAACTGTAGGCGCCCTTATGATCGGCTTCTCTGTTATTGCAGAAAGATAAATGATTATCAAGGTCTTTCAATCACTTTGAAGTCTGTGTTGGAAAATAGGGCAATCAGTCTAGTTCGTAGCACGTAGACTTTATCGTTTTTCTTATAAATCTTCTCCAGGGATTGTCAGTCATTTCAAACTATTGGCAAGTACATCTTTTAAACAATACAAAAAACCCGACTGCAGTAAGGGAAAAGAAATTGTATTATCTGGTGGAACCGAAGGACACCCCAAATGTATCAAGCCGTTTGAACTGCAGCCTGGGAACCCATATACACACCCCATGCGCGAAAAACATAACCTTCCTTCGGTCGGGTAAAAAGGAGATACAATGCTGCAGAGTTTTCCTTACAAAAATCTGACGCTCCCTTCAACCAAACAAAATAGTCGTTCAAAGTGATAGTATCCAAACATCCAAAGGGTGACAGATGCCAGATACAAATCCATGCCTAGGTTTAATTTGACGCATTTTTGAGGATTATATCTTAGTTCAGTGAATTTTTCGATGCGACCCTGGTTTAAAACACAATATGCTCAAAGCAAAGAACTCCAAATTGGCTATATACAGGTATCCAAAACTTCATGGAAATAGATGAGTTCAAAATAACTTGTTTCATCCAAACCCAGTGCGGATTATTTCCGTGGGGCTAGAAATATGTGCGAAAGTTCGTAGCTCTCACAGTTGTAATAGATCAAGCGTCACGGAGCTTTTTAACCTCAGGGCACATTAACTGCTTCCATTGTACCTCGAGGGCAAGAAACAACTCTATACCCTCGATTTAAAGTTGAGGTTGAGTTTTTCAAACAGTTGGAATAATAACAAAAGTTCAATGCTATCGCTCTAGGTAGCCCATGGAATTTTGAGACACCTTTGCCTATTGACTGAGAGATACTTTGAATACAATTTTAAATTTTTAATGATTCTAGTTGCTTAAAGTCGTATTCCTGTACAGTGCCCTATTAATGTTCCAGCTCGATTTTTTTCATAATGACGTTTGTTAGACGAACAAATATGCTTAAACAATTTCAAGCGAATTGCAAAAAATGTGACTTTTTCTCCGGGAGTTTTTTTCGGCTGTTTTGTATAAAAACAGTAATATTTAACGCAGTTTAAGAGTTCAAGCATCTTAAAGGTTTCTCGTACATTAATTCGCATATAACTCAAAAACGATCATTTTTAGAGAATAGTCGTTCAGAGATCGGAATGATACAAAAAACCTAAAAAACTGTCCGAAGCGAAAAAGACATTTTTTTTATGATTTGCTTCTAAAATCGCTTCTTGATTCATCTTAATGGGCAAACGTTATTTGAAAAAAATGCTGCCGCGAACAAGATAGTCTCACGTCGTCTATTGAACTTGGAATTCTTTGCTTCACAAGTCTCCAAATTTCCCATAAAAATTTGGCCATATGCGTAAAATATAACTATCCTATAACTTTTTGTCGTTTTCAAATTTTTGTTTGTCATAAATCAGAGACTAACTTATATACAGTCACTAATGGTAAAATAGCTACCTTATTGGCAACTCACTGAACTGGAAGCTGTCCAAACAACAGACTGTATACAGGTAAGAAATGACGATTAGCAGGAAAATGTTGAAGGAGCTGTTTGATAGACCTGCCGATCCTGTCTGCATCGCAGCGGGCCTTTCACCTGAAACAATAAAAAAATATATAGATCTTCGTAGATTTATGTTAGGAATGACAAAAAAGTGGTGTCATTACTTCAAGTACCGCACAAGTTAGCCCCTCTGTTAAAAAAGTTAGGTAAAAAATTCTGAAAATAGGGTTGGATCTTAAGAGTTGCATATTTAGGATGCTTTTGGGTACCATTCTAGAGATTGCCCCATGTCCCCGTGAAAAAAGTTGCCACCTCCGCTATTCAAAAAGCTTTGAAAGCACGTACACAAGACCTTTTCTCTTCCCGCTCGTCAGCTACATCACCACGGCAGCTTCCTCGAAGTACGAAACCCCAGAGATCGGTTAGAACTCGACTCAGGTTGCCTTATATTCAGAGCCGCATGTGTTGAAAATATTTCTCTATCGCTCTAAGATTTGAGGGCAAACACATGATGTATGAAATACCGGATCTGGCAGCCTGTAAACACCAACAATTTGAGATATACATTCCTCCACCTCCTATGACCCAACACTTTTTATTTGTAAATTTTTTTTCTATAAATGATCAAAAGCCTTTGAAACGTCAAAATCGCGAAGTTGATGCAGTACAAATTTTTTTTCGCTTTTTTGTCTGTAGCTCCACCGCCACTGGACCGATTTCCAAAAATTACAAAGCTGTTTCGTCCTTAGCATAGTGACCTTGTGTAAAAATTATATTCACAATCTGAGAGCTACTTTCAAAGTTATAAATGGGCGGACCGAGGCACCGATAGACAGACAGACGATAATTGACATGGTTTTTCGTGTCATATAACATCCAAAATATATATCATTTTCAAAATTTGTGTGACCGTGATTGCGATCTTCAAGAATATTTGAAGATCAAATTAATTTCTTGATAGGATGCGTTTACTTTTAATTCACAGAATCTAAAGGGACGAAAATTTTGCGCCCAAGCTCGATTATGCCTATGACCTTGACAATGAATCTCAAGGTCATATGTATGACCTTATAAATGACCTTGACGATGGCCTCTAAGATCATTTAGGAGCCACATTATTTTTTGTAGTAAGCCTTTCACCTTTACTTTCCACGCCACTGAATAAAACCAATGGAAATCTCGAAGAATTTCGAGAACGAGATATTATATTTTTTTTGGGTGTTATAAATCACATGTCTATAAACTGACCCTCCAACTTTTATATGACCTTCCAGAAGAAAAAGTTATGGAATTTTTCATGTAATATTTTCTCAGTATACAGGGTTTAGAATAGTTGAATATCAAATCAATTTCTTGATAGCAAGCATTTACTTTTAATTCTGAGAATGTAAAGGGCCAAAAATTATGCGTCATCATGCCTATGACCTTGACAATCACCCTCAAGGTCCTATGAAGCAGAAACTACCTTTTAACGGGGATCATTTTAGAGTTTAGAAACGTAAATAGTAGACAATTTTAAGTTTCAGTTTCAGAAAAACGCTAGCTTTATTCGAATAAGGTTGTATTCCTCTATCTCCTATTTTTAGGGAAAATGATAAAATATCTCCCAGAGAAACAGGTTGGAAAACAAGGTCGCAAGTGACATTTAATGGTAATCTTGGGTGTGACCGTGACTGCGATCTTCAGGAATATTTGAAGATCAAATTAATATCCTTAATTCCGAGAATTAAAGGGCCAAGAATTCTGCGCAATCATGTCTCTGACCTTGACAATGACCCTCAAGGTCATATGAAGCCCAAACTAACTTTTAACGGGGATCATTTACCGAGTTCGTAATTTTAAATTCCATTAAGTCCCTATCAATGACCTTGACGATGACCTCCAAGATCATTTACAGGCCACATTAATTTCTTTTAGTAAGCCTTTCACTTTTACTCTTCACGCCACCGACTAAGATCAATGGAAATCTCGAAAAATGTCCAGAATTGGATATTATGATTTTTGGGTATTTTAATGACATGTCTATTAACTGACCTCCCCTTCAAATTTTTATATGACCTTCCAGAAGAAAAAGTTATGGAATTTTCCAGGTAAGATTTTTTTAGAATACAGGGTTTCAGAAAAGTGCAAACTTTATTCGAAGACAGTTGTATTTGTCTATTTTATATTTTTATAAAAAAAGATAATTCCTTTTTATCTGATTCAAAATATATGTATATTGTCTATCATGCTTATTTTCAAAAATTTCGCCAAAAACTTAAAGCTTGTGTGCAATCTGGTAAAATATAAAGTTTATAACATTCGTAAATATTCGCTATACATTTTTTGAGACACCCGGTATACAAAAAATATTACACGAAAGACTTATGAAGACCGTACAGCTTTTTTCTTCTAGAAGGTAATGCAAAAAAAAGTTAGAGAAGGGTGGTCAATTTATAGCTGGACACGTCAGGAAAGATCATGTTACTCATTTCCTTCAGTCTGACTGTCGGTCTGTGTCTGTCTGTTTGTCTGTTTATCCACTAACCCTTGGTCTATCTATATCTTGAAAATTACCGCTATGATTTTGATGAAATTTTCACTGAAGGTGAAAGTATGCCAAGGACGAAAAATAATTGTAGTTTCTGAAAAACGACACCAAAAAACAAAAAGAAAATTCATCAATCTAAGTTTTTGGACGCTTTAGCGGCTCTTGGCCATTTTTAGAGAAATCTTTATTGTGGTTTAAAATTGGGGATTGCAGGTTATACGAGCCTGATTATCTGACTTGATCCATTTAATTTCTTTGTTATACATGATCGTAGTCAACTTTTTCTTCAGACGGGCTCGCTTGTGTCGATCATAATTTTTTATGAACTGATGACAGCGTTGTTGACGTCATTCTTTATCGCGGAAATGAAAAAAGCTGAGCACCTCGAGGTCAAGGTCACATCATATAGTTTTTCCGTAATCTGGACTTCGAGAGGCAAGAGTCTTTGGAGGGAGCAGCGTCACCAAAGACGTTATCAGCTTTGGCTCAGGAGTGCTGCACATCCCTTTACAGTTTAGATTTTAGTAAATACGTGACCCCGTGGTTGCTAACGAGGATTTAAATTTTACTGGACGTCTATGGAGTCATGGATGCTGTATATTTACAAATCCCACCTATCGTATTGTCGTATCGAACCAAGTGTTCGGAATTAATTATTTTGGATTTGAATGTTGAACAAATACAAATTTCCATATTTGTCTGGAGTTGCCGCATGTTGTTCTATTTGGCTTGCTAGTTTCATGCTGTTGCATTTATTTGAGGTGAAAACATAATTCCCATATCGGGAATTGGCCAAATATAGGTTTTTATCTACATAGATTAATACAACGTCTGTTTGTCCGTGTTGTTTGTTTACTGTTCGGTTTCAACTTTATTTTGTTTTCGATGTTGATCGCTCCAGCATTTTGATGCATTAATTCCATGAGTTCATTACTCAAACCTGGATGTATTCTTGTGTGTCTTTTTAGTGTTAAAGTGCGATCACTAAGCTGCTTCAAATTCCTGCATTTCCAGGCAGAGGAAGTCGTTATGTTCTTCTCTTCCCAGAGATACCGTTAAAAACAAAACTGATTCCCGTGGATTACCCGCGATGAAAAGAAATACCGACTAATCAAAGACATTTGTAGCGCCTATAGGATGTAAGTTCGTATACGGGAGCATGCCACAGAATCGAAATTCTGCGGAATGTGACTTGATGAGCTTACTTCAATAGCTGACTGAAATATTCTCTGTTGCCCTAGGTCAGCGGTTCCCAACCCCTTTCTTTCTGCGAATCCCTTATAAAATTGGAATATATCGGCAAAGCCCCTGAGCAAACGTTAGTGCGAGTGAATAAAACAGAGTACTATTTGGCTGTTATCAAGATTTATTAATCATATGAATAATCGAAATAATGAGAAAAGTACATTAAAACATAACTGTAAAGATGAAGAAGTATTAGAAATTATATCTCCTTCAAAATGATGCGTTGTTTAATACAAGTTTATTCGGAAAATACTCTTTGAACGTTAATTGACGTTGTTTGAGAAGTTCAGCTATATCTCTGTTAATGTTTTCGTTAAGTTGAATTTTATTCTCTGATAAAAAACTGCTGAGAGAACCATAACAATCGTACTCATTCATCTGCAGACAGTGATTCCAAAAGTTGAACTTCTTTAGCATGGCTTCTATTCTATCATGAACATTGAAAATGGTGATTCCTGGACCTTGTAAAGACATATTTATCTCATTTAATTTAGAAAAAATATCGGCCAAGTATGCAAGTTTTTGGAGCCACAGAATGTCGGATACAGAAACGGACAAATGAAATGGATGGTCAAGAAAGAATGCCTGAACTTCAGACTTCAATTCAAACAAGCAGGTCAAAACTTTGCCACGAGAAAGCTTCTGTATGAAGCAATAAGGACACGTGGAGACTTTCCAAGTCCTCATAAAGTTCACGGAATAGACGAGAATTTGTAGCACGGGACTTTATAAAATCACAACTTTTACAGCTTCGTTTAAAGTACTGGCTAATTCTGCAGGAATACGCTTACATGCCAATGCTTGCCTATGAATACAGCAATGAGTCCATTCTATATTCTTCTGATGATCTTCTTTATTCGTGCCACAAGACCAAAATATGTTCGAGTCGTTGATTTTGCACCATCTGTGCATTCACCTAAGCAAATTGACCAGTGTTTTTCGAAATAGTCATTGATCAGCTTAAAAATTGCTGCACCAGTCGTTTAAGTTTACAGTGGTTCTGCAAATAACACATCTTCTTAGATGAAATTCTTAAAAATATATCTAACATACACGAGCAATATTGCACAGTTTGCTACATCGGTCTATTCGTCAAACTGAATAGCAGAATTTTTCAGTTTTATTCTTTTCAAAAGTTCACTTTCAACACTGCTCGCCAAATCGTTAATTCTCAGTGACACTGTGCTGTTTGATAAGGGCACAAGGTCATTTTTTTGCCGCTTTTTCTCCAAGCATACACATTGCGATGTCTTTAGCACAAGGTCCGATCAAATTTTCTGCCACTGTATGACCCTTTCCAGATCTTGCGATTCTGTCACTAACTCGAAATGATGCTTCAAGAGCCATTTTACTATCTACGGATGTCTTGTCTCAAGGTGCCGACGAAGAAGCGTTGGTTCTAAACTACTGTGGCCAGGTCTTCACTACCAA